TAGATTCGAAAACACTTTTGAAGTAGCACCTCGACATTTACAAGAGTATTACTTAAAATAGTAGTTTAGCTGAATGTTTAAGGTGGCGAAATTTTGATTGGTATTATACAAAGAAGACAAAGTTTGAGTCAGGCGCAGGCTACAAACATTTCCGTGTTTCTGTGTTTTTTGGGGAGGAAAAGGAAATTACATTAAAACAGAGGAGCTCTATTACACACACTTTCTCAAGCTACTAAAGAGTGAATCTGAAACTTCAAACCAAAATGTTAAAGTGCAAGAAAGCACATTTAGAGCGTTAATCAAAAGTCATGGGGACACCAAAATCACACAGATCAATCTTATGTTTTAATTCATTATGTAGCTTTTCATCAGTTGTTCCTAAGCCTTAATATTGAACCTTATAAATTTACTTGATCACAGAAATTTGTTTCCAACCTTTCAGAAGTTTAGAAATCAAAATATAAAATGTACTAGTGCCCATTAAGATAAAGTTAGTATCTTAAATACTGTGTGTGTTGGAATTAAGCTAGATATAGAACATTAGATTTTTATATATGTAAAGTCGAGAAATATAAGGACATGCTCTTTTTAAATACTATTTTAAGAAACAATATTTAAAACAGAGATGAGCAAAATTTAGTATCACCTTAGCTAAGACATAGGTCTAGAAGAGATTTGAAGTTCCATTTAGCCATCCAAAATATTTTCTTTTCCCAGGTCAGGTACAGTTTACAAAGAACTATATTTGAATTAGTTTGTCTTATGTTAAATTCCAATGCAAAAGTTAGCCCAAGACCCTTTCCAAAAACAACTTTAGCTTGAGCACACAGTGCTGCTGGAGAGGTGAAACAAACACTCCCAAAGCCATAAAAAAATAAGAGTGCAAACATTCCAGCAAAATATTACAATTGTCAATATAAGCCTCACAATAGATTTACATACATTAAATGGTAAAGACTACAATAAGAAGTTGCAGCGCTGACAAATTTAAAAAATAAGGTACTGTTACAGTGAGGAATAACCCTTACTACAAGCCCATTAATTTGATGTGTCAAATGGGCGCAACTAGTCTAAACCGATCGGATCAGTCTTGCATCTCTCGCAAGTGTAAATTGCAATGAGCAATTTCGGTTGAGATGAAATTGATAGACACAACCTTACTTCTAGAGTGTAAGATGTTCTTTCAAATTCAATCTAAAGCGAAATTGAAGTCCCATGCAAGCTTAGAAGAGTAGAAGAATCTACATACATGCAGAAACTAAATTGAATCATTAATTGGAAGTTAATCTGTCCATAATGTGGCAGAAGAAGCTATGCATAATGTAAAGAATAACTTGGTTTGAAGTTAAATGAAGTAATTGTAATAGATTAACCAGTGTTACCCTCATCTATGCACACTAATGAACAATCACAGAAAAATCTTTTCTTTTCAGACATCTGTTCAGAAAATTTTACACCAAGGCTCCAAAGAAAACAAAAGTTTCCTCAGATATACTGCCGCGAAAGGGTAATTTTTTACATGAAACTGAGATAAAATGGTGCATGTAAAGAGCCATACTCCACTGTCAATGATACGTTACCAGTGACTCATTCACTTGAGCCTGTATCTGTTTGCTTGGAAATAATGCCAACCATCTCTATAAATAATAGAATTGTTTAAAATATTATTGCTTTTGAGGAACAAATTGCAGATTGAGAGTTAACATGCCACAAACATATTTTCTGTGGGAGCAAATCAGTAAAAAGATTGAAATTACAAAGGCACCTTTATCACAAGGAGATTTGCACTCAATTACAAAACCAGAAAATGCTCACATTTCATAGAATATTTTCGGCAGTTTTCTGTAAGTGGGCATATAAACAGACAAATTTAAATTTCAACCCACCGTCAAGAAAAAAGACAACTTGTGACAGACTGAATGTTAGTTATATGGTCCAAAATTTAATTGGAAATGAACAATGAATGATTGATCTGTTAGATACACTTAGGTACATAGCAAAACAAAACAAGATTGTTATGAAAATCTAATTGTGAGCATAGGTAGATTTGAGTCCTCTTCTATGGGAAATGTGTTAAATTACCCCTAACTAACCTTATGTTTCAACATTGTATACAAAATAGTTTTTTCCTTATTTCTTCATAGACAAAAACAAAACTGCACTAATAAAAATATCAATCAACATCAAATCCTTTACCAAGTCCTTTCAATCACATAAGTTTTCATGTAGTTTCAAGCAAAACAATGAAAAGTAATTGACCAATTTGAAAACATAGCTAGTCCAGTGCATGCACACATCTTGCCAACTAGGTCACTAGTGCCACTACAACATAATCTCTCATAAGGTTATCACCAAACAAAATGAAAAAACTGAAAGATATGTAAGGAAATACAGTAACAAACCATTGTTATAACAAACACCCTAGAATACCATAACCAATGGCCTATGGTACTTCAACTACAATTTCCAACAAATGCAGCTTCACAACAGTTACGATGTTACCCAGGCACAAAGCTTCGTACAAATGTGATTAAACTTCTAGTGACAAGATACAAATCTGTCCATAGTTCTTGTTCAAATGCACTGACATAAGTTATTAATCGGAAGGTTGGGGTACTCAGACTGACTTCCTACAAGTTTCCATGCAAAATATGTTAAAGTACAGAAAAAAAAAAAAACATACTCGAAGCAAGTACTTCCATCTAATAAGCAAACTAAACACTTCCATAATTTATACAATGAAATTATTAGATGGGTGCAATAAACCCTTGATAAGAGAAATAAATCCTCAAAATGGATGCTTTAAGAATTCCATTGGTCCCAGCAAACCAATGTTAGCTGGCAGTTTCTTAAGCCCAAAGAGGCATGAAAAGGCAGTCTTCAGGTGACTGAACAGTCTTAGAGTTGCTTAACTCTGTTCCAGTTAAGCATCACAAATCCACCACAGTGGATCTTTAAATCCTAGTAAACTAGCCAACAAGACATCACATAATCCAGTCAAGACACATTTAGTAATTTTACTGGCTGGAGGGGTAAGTTTCTTGGAAAAAAAACTTTCTTACGCAAGCATAAGACTTATAGTATCATTTTTAGATTGACGTGGCATTAAATTTTGATTAGCCAAGAGTAAAACAGTTGCTTGCTGTGAATCGGATCCAATAACACTAAGGCCCGGTTTGTTACCAACTAAGTATCGAGACTGCAGCAGAGCAAGTGATTGAGGAATAGCTGCATTACTTTTCTGACCAGACAATATGGTAGCCAAATTATCTGTGTTACCATTTGCAGAGTTTTGAACTTTCTTCTTTGATTTTGAGGAAGAATCTTTTACACTTTCAGATGAGCCTGATCTCTTTACGCCTGCAGATGTTGGTAGAACTTGAAATTTGGTGGAATTTTTGGCAATTTGTACAACAGCAGTAGCAGTAGCAAATGTGCCATCATTTGATTCATCACCTGGAGACTGTTCTCCCGCACTCCACTCTGTTTCAGCAACAGTTTCTCCATCGTCAGAGTTGGCTTTCCTTTCACCATCAGCGAAGGAGATATCACTTTGCCGGATAGCCTCTCTAACAATATCATTAAAGTTGAGAGCACTGTCATTTGTTATCTCTGTGACAACAGATCCAGTTAAATCTTCTTGAACACAGTTCTCAAAAGTCTGGAAAACATGAACCATGTGTTTTAATCTCAAGGGGCATTCTGATTATAATTATAAAAAAAGGTCATTAAATTTCTGTAACTTTGCTACCAACCAATTCAACCTCTTCAACAATTTCGGGTTTCATAACTCGGACTCCAGATTCTAGCTTGTCAGAAATATCTTCGGCGCCACTGGATGAGTAACCATCTTCTTCTTCCTCTTCTTCATCAGAATCAGCATCAGCTGCTACTTTTCCATTTACAGAACCATTGCGAGATTGCTGATGTGAGAGAGGAGAGCGAGGCATGGTGCGAACACGTTTAAATTCCTCCTCAGAAAGAATAATAAGCCCTCCAGATGTTGTTAGAACTTTTCCATGCCTAGTTTTCAAGTGGCGCTTGTAAGTGTTCCTGGTTTTAAATCTAAGAGAAGAAGATAGATAAATTATGTGGATGTTCAACATATTGAAGATAGGAATCTTTAAAACATTAGTTCAATTATATTTACCTAAGCAAGCAATCAGAGCACTCAAACGGTGACTCCCCTGTGTGTCTGCGCCTGTGTTCCTTGAAGTGGGAAGGGTGTCTAAATTTGCGCCCACAGTCATGGCAAGTAAACCGAGTCTGGTTTGAGTGAATAAGCATGTGATAGTTAAGAGAATGCTGACGAGTAAAGGCAGCTCGGCAAATGCGGCACTCATAAGGCTTGATACCTGAAAATAAAGTAAGGAATTAAAGATTAAAAAGACTACACAGCAAGTAGATAAAATGAAAAGAAAGGGAAAAATCTTACCAGCATGACTACGATAGTGACTCATCAGAGTGGTAGGAGCAGTGAAACAACGAGGTGGGCGGCAAATGCGACACTCAAGGGTGTCAAGAGATTGCAACCCTGCAGGACTACCTTTGGTTTTGATAGCATTGATAAGACGGATTGCCATTTCTTTCTCAGCTTTTGACTGCCCGATGAACTTCGCTTTCCCTTTAGGCTTCTTGTGCTGATGAAATTCATCACGTTCTACAGCTGTTGTTTCCCAGGTCAACTCTCGAGTCTCTCTTCCATTTAACTCATGATTTGACGGCTCACGGCGGTTGTCACAAAGAACAGGCAGATCTTCTGAAATAGAAGGCTTCCTTAGTAAAAATGGGATGTGCTAATAGTTGATGGATTTAGTCTAACAGCTTTTATTAACACAAATACAAGCTACCAATGGACTACATTAAAATTTGGTAAATGAAGAGATGGGCCAATTGGCTTAACCCGAAAACAGTCACACATCGCTTACCTCTCAGTTTTGATATTATAGATTTTAAGATGTCCTTAAGTTTGGCAGCTATGCAGAAAGTTATTACACCCTTAGCAACATGCATGACAAACCAAAATAACCCCGCAAACCAAAAGATATTTTGTTTTCCTCAAAAGAGGAAAGGGAAAGAAGGAAGAAATAAATTACCTGACTTGATGGTTTTAGCTGGTGGTTCAGTCCTCACGTCAATCTCACGTCCAACCGATGGGACCCGCTTGTTACTTATGGTTTCCACAAATACCTGTTGAAAATGGAATTTGTGAAAACTGAGACACTATGCTAAATAATTGATACAAGCAGATAGATAGTACTTACTTCTGGTGAATCCAAGACTGGATCCAAACCAGGTTCTGGCTTGATGAAAATACGTGATACCTCACTGCTGTAAACACTGTTGATGATGCTTCCATTGGAATTCTCAGTTCCTCGTGAAGTGTAGCTGTGCTCAGTATAGATACTCTTCTCACCTTCAGAATCTTGATCTTTTGACTCGCTATTTACAGCAACATGTTCACGTGATGGACTGCCAGGTGGAGGCAAGTCGCTAAAATAAAATTAAAGAAGCAATGAATACATTTTACACAAAGGGTGCCTGAGTGTCTTTGAGAATCAAAAGCATTAAATGGGTATGTGGATCCCAGTGCCCCTACCAGCCAGGCTCAAGACCATATACCCAATATAATGTCTAACAATAATTCAACTAAGTACAAAAGGGTGTAAGTTGTCATCACTTCGTACCCATATCGACTGCCAGTGCTGCAACAGGACACAGTGTCTTCATCTGAATCGACAGAACTTTGCTGAGAAGGTATAATAGTCTGAATGGGAGAAGTCTGAGCAGGCACAGGTGTGGGAATATCAACAATTTTAAGCAAATTCAAACTTTGAAGTTTTGGTTGAGAACGGTCATTAGGAGACTTCCAGTCCCCTGCACCATCAACTTTGTTCTCCTTGTTGTTGACAGGTATATTCGTTATTTCATCATAGAGCTCTGAATAACGCAAGCGTGATGCTTTCACGGGTTCTACTTTAACTTTAGGATTGACTTTCTTTTTTGAGGGTTGAACTTTTGGGGCACGCCGCCTGCGGCTCACACGAATGGGTTCATCTTGAAAGAAAGAGAGACAAATGCTTAGTACATTGCAATCACAAGGCTCCACACTGACATGGAAGTGGAGAGAAGCTTAACATACCTGGCCCATGATTCTTTAGGTGCTCTAAGAGGTGAGTGCGCATCATCTGTCTAGCACGGCCTTCACTACCAAAACTAGAGAATGTTTGGCCACATAACTCTGGTTCCAAAAGGCAGGTGTAGGTAAAAGTACGGCGCATTTCATCTCCATCAAGTCTAGAGCAAAGCCTGAGCTGTTGGGAAAGTGACAATGAACGCAGCTTAGCAGCGGTCAATGTGTCCACCTCAGCTCTCTAAACAGTAAACAGATCAAAATTAATTAGCAATAATAATAAATTACTTTTGAGACAGCAAATTAAGGTCCATTGTAATTTACCTTAGAAGATTTCCTGCGAGCTGACTCTTTGGGTTCAGGTTTCTCTCTTGGCTCTCGGACAGCTCTTTCAGTGGATTTTTTCTTGACTGGAGAAGTCTTTACAGTGGGATCACTATGCAAGGTTTGAGAGGCTACTTCTGCGAGCATGTCCAGAAGGCCTGATGCAGGACGGAGGGAAGGTATGTGATCCATTTTCCAATTGTTTCCACTATCAGATCGTCCTTTAGAGGCTACAACAGAATTAAAGCACATCTTTAAACACATGTCAAAAAATATATATAGCAAAAGTCAACAATGATTTTTTTTTTCAAAAAGTGTGTAAATTTATGGGAGTACAAAAGACGGTTGTTATTTACTCCCTTAAAAGAAATTTAAGAATGTTTCTTTCGTCAATTCTATTTAAATAATACTTTTTAAATTTGTCAAAAAAAGGGGGGAGAGAGCAACATAGACTGATTAATGATAACTTTAAAAACAAAAACAAAATAACAGTATGTAGCAGAAACTAATGACTGTTAAAAATTAAGTTTACCTCCTTAGAGCACATTAACAGGAATGCCAACATTCGCCAATGATTCAGTTAATTTAGATACTCAAAGTAAGGTTAAAACAGTATTTTACGAAGATCTCATCAGGAAAAAACGGACGGAAAACGTCCTTTCCAACACCCCCCTGAACATAACCTCTGAACATTCCAACAGGTTCCGCCGCTCACCAGGCTCATAACTAAGCCTGAAATACGGTTAAGGCTAATTCTTTAAAATCAATTTCGACAAACAACTGTAGACCAATTAGGGTTATAACAACCTATTTCGAGAAATATTAAAGTGACAGGGAACATCCGATAGCTACATGGAAAAGCAAATAAACTTGAAAGAAGTGCCACTGTCGGCACGCAAACGCATAAACAACCAGGGAGGCGCCCATTGTGATGGGGATGCAGAAGGACGCTTTCGCATTTTCATAACATTTACATGGATTTGTAAGCACAGTATACGTACTCGGCATCTCCAAGCACTACAGTTGCAAATAAATAGTACAAATCAATCGTTTTCATCGGATTTTACAAACAGGCGTCATGTTTACAAGAACCATTGGCCATGACTCGCTGGCAACTACGAGTGGTCATGGCACACATAAACAGAGCGATAGGCGTACTATTTCTTGCTGAAATATCGAAGACGCTTACCTGTCTATTACCATCGGTACAAGAACAAAAGGAAAAGAGTCACTATTGTACAAGTAACTTAAGTATTTAAGTCTAGACTACAGAAAATGGCAATATTTTCACTGACGCATCCAACAGTTGGTCTTGGCGCGAGTTAGAATAGCAGACGCCATGAGGAGACGCTAGCAGCCGATAGCTTCTGTCTCATTTACTACGCCTCAAATTCTCAGCAGGAATAGAAAATTTACCAACCTGTAGCCTCTGTAATCTTTTAAGACTTTTGAATTGTACTTACCTTTCGTTTTATCTTCATTTATCTTCTTGCGACCGTTAAACATTGTAATTGATCGACAAATGCGTCAGCGGCCATTACCCTTCTTGAACTCTTTGTCTGATGCTATCAGTGTTGCCAACAGGGAGGCCGTTGCCACCGGATGACTGTACGGGGGCCACATAGTCTGTTTTTCAAGTAACCTCATATGCTCACCGTCCATTTATAAAAATCCAGTTTATTATTTAGGCCTAAAGGACTCCAATATCCACGCTTCTATTGTAATACCAACCATCAAATAGCTTTGAAATACTAAAAACTGGATTTGTTATGTTTTGTGGTCAAATTTGGTCGGACGACCCCTCCACTCCGCAACCCCTCTCACCCTTCACCTTTGTGTTTGCGGAGTAGCGAAGTGGTCTGCTCTGTCTGCTTGGCTGTCTGCTGTTGCAAGTTGTTAAGTTAAAGGAAAGGTGTTTCTTGGACTCATTCATGTGGGGGAAAGAAAAATGTACCACATATATCTAATTAATAGAAGAATAGCTGCAGTAAAATAGCTAAAGCTGAAATGAAAGTGGGAATCCATAATCTCACACACAACCCTACTCAAGCATGGTCAGAGCTGTCAAAGTCTCAAAGGGTTTTGAAGATTCATGCTACACCTCCTAAAAGAGGGGTTGCACCCAACAAGGTCAGTGGTAAACCGCCCTTCTCTAGTTATATTTTCATTTTCTCTCTGATCATAAAATGAAATATATAAAAATAAGATGTATTTGATTTTGTTGATCTGTTGTTGTTTTGACATGGTTTTTGAAAAGGGAAAAGTTCCATTTTGAAAAATAAATATTTGACTGATTTAAACTTTACTTGTTTCTATTTTAGGTGAGAATTGTTTGTATGAGTGATACACATTCACTTACTTCTCATATAAAATTTGATGTGCCAGATGGAGATATATTCATACATGCAGGAGACTTTACCCGATGTGGTAGTTTGGAGGAAATCGTTGAGTTTAACGAATGGCTTGGTATGAAGGTTTGAATATCTGAAAGTAGCATTTTTCTTTAAACTTAAAATTTATGTGCTTTGTCCTCATTATTACAGGAAACTTGCCACACAAACACAAGATAGTTATAGCTGGCAATCATGAGCTGAGCCTAGACGAGAACTTCATTAAGAGCAACGACAAAGTTCTCCCCTCAACTGTCCCAACTTTGGGCTTATCTCGAAATGCTATTGCTGAAGCGATCCGCACCCCAAACGCTAAGCAATACCTGACCAACTGTACATACCTTCAAGACGAGGAAGTGATCATTCATGGCATTAAAATATATGGAACCCCTTGGTTGGTGAAAATCTTTTCTTTCATCCAATTATTTCCCTAATTATTCTTCCTATGAAGATCGAAATTACTCTTTGTATTTGCAAAAATTCTAGGCAACCAGAATTTTGTAAGTGGGCCTTTAACTTACCTCGAGGAGAACCTTGTCTATCAAAATGGGATCTAATTCCTGACGATACTGATATTCTGGTCAGTCACACACCTCCAATTGGTCATGGTGATCTATGCTGCACAGGTGTGCGGGCTGGCTGTGTTGAACTTCTTGCCACAGTTCAGCAGAGAGTCAAACCAAAATATCATGTTTTTGGGCACATACACGAAGGTGAGCACACCATGCTGTACTGATTTGTCAAATGCAGGGTTTATACTGGCCACAAGTGACATTTGTTGGATATGTTCTTGTGGGGTTTCAAGGCTTCTCATTGGCTGATTTCTAACAAATGACAATTGTGGCCAGTCTTAACCCTGCAAAATACTACATTGAGTGGTTTGGTTTGGCTATTTTGACCTTGTAACAAATTGACAATGTGTTTACAGGTTACGGTATTACATCAGATGGGAAGATAATTTTTGTGAATGCTTCGACCTGTGATATAAAATATGTACCCTCAAATCCTCCTGTAGTTTTTGATGTAATAATGCCGGTAGGAACTTCAAAAGCCTTATGAACATTGCGCATAGATTCAAGTTTGACCTACCATTTTATTAAATCAAATTGAAACACTAACATTTGCTCTGCTTATCTAGCAGCTAATGTCATGTCAGTACCCATAACAAGGGTACCTACCGGAGGATTAAATTGCAAACTGTAATCCTTTGAATATTTTTCCACAATTAAAATATGAAGATTGTTATTGGGATTGTATTGAAGTGATCTTAAAACAATGTCACCAGAAACCAAAAACGATGTTTACAAAATCTCATCAAAAATTTATTTTTTCTAATTTACATTGTACAAGCATCTAACTAACTTCAGGCCTTAAGTGTTCAGTTTGCTGAAGTTAAGTGAAAACATAACATTGCAGATCTAAAATTAAGTTTCTAAAATTTGTGATTGTAAATGATGTACTGTAGTCATCTCAAATAATCAACATTCGGTTACTAAATTAAACACAAAAAGACCCGTTACTTCACATGCGGAAATTGATACTGTGGTTCACAGAGAATTTACAAGAGTGCTTTCATCCCTAAATGTATCTGCTATAAAAGTTGTCAACAGACTAACAATACAAGATTCAAGTTCCTTTAGAGGACAGTCATACATAAAACAATAAAATAGACGTGTTCTGGATCAGGAAAATATGTTTATCAATCTCTTTCAAATCTTAACAAAATACTGATCAATACTAGAAAAGTAAGAGGGGCAAGAAATAATTAAAAAAACCAAAAACAAGACATGTGTCAGTGGGTAGATCAAGACCAAAACTTAGTGCTAATAGCAAGCACTACTTGATTCCACAAATCATTGAACTTTAAGCATTCAAGACCAGACAATCTGTACTTTTATACAACCCACGCAGCATTTGAAGACAAAGAATTAATCAACATAATTTCACAATAACTAACACAAGCCAAATTCAATCCTAAGTAGTAACATGAGCCAAACTGGCTCCACACATACTCACAGCCAATGACATACCCTCTGAGAGGAGTGCATAAACTACATATTACTTGGCCCTATGGTGAACCTATTAGAATGTCAACATTCACACCTTTGAAAGATGGTCTGTTTTCCATTTTACCATAGAATAGAGGAAAGATGAGATGAAGATTAAGACAGCCATGTCACATGAACACAGAAAATTTCACTTCAATACAATTTATGGCACACAATTTCCTTCCTTTGATGTTCTTACATTTCACCTAGTTTAGAGACAACTATTGAAACATCTACATTTTGCTTTGATTATTGGCTTTAATCATCAAATGTCAGTCCTAAAGATTAATTGATCATATCAGTGTACAGGTTGTCGGGTGTGATAAAACTGAACTTTAAAGACCCATAAACAAATTAAAATGGACAGGTACTTAATATGGAACATTGGAGAAAAGGTAGGACACACTTTCACCATTGTGTGTTCTCCTTACAGCTTCCGCAAACATCATAGACACATCAATACACTGTAAAAATAAAATAAAATTTAGAACCTCATAGAAAATGGTATGGATTGAGATACTTCATTCATTACCTACCTGAATACGAGGACAGTCTTTCATATGCCCATCTTGAGGAATGGTGTTAGTAACAACAACAGCCTCGAAACAGGCATTGTTGATCCTTGATATAGCGGGTCCAGAGAATATTCCATGAGTCAAAATTGCATATACTCGTGTAGCACCAGCTTCCAGAAGTCTGCAAGTACAAACTTTGTCATACAAGCCATTTGAAAAAACAAAAGAGAAGAAAGACGGATGAGTCTTACTTTTCAGCAGCATGGCAAATAGTACCACATGTGTCTGCCATATCATCAACAAGAATTGCAACACGGTCTTTCACATCTCCAACCAAAACCATTGATGCAACTTCGTTGGCCTTTTTGCGCTCTTTATGAATCAGGGCAAATTCAACATTTAATCGGTCAGCGATTGATGTTACCCTTGTTGGAGAAAAGGAAAAGATAGGTTAATCAAAGTTAAGGCCAGTAATCAATCATCCAAATACATTTAAAAAATGTTTATACCTCTTAGCACCCCCAGCATCTGGGGACACAATAATTGAATTGCGCCACTCTGCAATATTTTCCTTAATCCACTTCAAAACTGCAGGTTCAGCATACAGATTGTCAACAGGAATGTCAAAGAAGCCTTGAATTTGAGAAGCGTGAAGATCCATAGTAATGATATGATCAGCGCCAGCAACACTAAGCATGTTGGCAACAAGTTTAGCAGAAATTGGAGCACGACTCTGAAAAAACAAATACCCATGATAAATTCATGATAAATAGTTCCAATCTGTTCAGTAATAAAACCTTGATGTACAAAAAAAGCACGTAAAATTATGTCCCTAAGCAGATTCTCAAAAATAGCAATTAGCATTCACATGAGGGAATTTAAACAAATGGGAAACAAGAAATACCACTCAAATGTTAAACTTAAACACAAACAAGTTGCAGAAGACATGCAAGATAGCACAAGATGGTTTAAAGATGTAAGCTTTATTTTGTTATTTTTTTAATTGTTTTCAACTGATGGTCTCAAAATAAAACTTTGAGAGTTGGATCAGAAGCAGAGTATTGTGGTGATCAACCAGCGGCAAAATCATAACCACTTCAGTAGAAACTTCCTATCTTACATAGCACTATGAGTGATGTGTTAAAAAGAATTTTGGCAAGCTTTTCAAGTGTGTTAGAATTGACAGCCCACATGCTGTTTCAGAATCATGCAATACTTTTTGACAGTAATACATTTTTCCATATGCATGCACCCTATTCTATACAAAGAAGCTCTAATAGAGCCTCAAACTCATCTTTCTTCTTAAAGTGGGTCAAAGTCTGAACACAGATATTGAAGCTGAATCAACAAAGATCTGATAACCACAGAAGTTGCTTTGGGGGAAAGTCTGATGTCATCAAGTGATGGAAACTGATTCTGAGTGAGGTCAACACCCTAAGCAGCCGGACTGTCTACAACCAATCTCACTCCATACTGTTTGTCAAAGAGTGACAAACAAGACCAACTATGTAACACTGCCAGGGCCCAGGCACAGAACAACAGTCACCCTGTTTCTTTCGCAATGCAGTGAACTCTGACCCCATATCAGAGAGCCCACCACTCATGAATGGGTCAACAGTTTATCAGCACTCAACCCGAATCAAAGCTTGAAGGCCGCCAAACATAAAGTAGGCGACAGCTGTCATGTGTGAGGAAATATTTGAAAATCCCAGAGACAGACAATTTTTCCCAGTGACATCACAGAACCAAGCAACCTGTACCCTGTTACCGTGCAAAGAGAATTTACCCTGAACTTCCAATCGTTATTCTTGAAAGATGGTTCGACCACAGGTTTTCCGTCACCAGCAGTCTACAAATGAACATGTGGGAATCAGTCACATCTTACATTGTGAGGGTACAGTGGCTGAATGTGGCTGGATGTTCTACCACTATAATTGAAGAATAGGGTAGTAGATGCTGAGGTGTAACCAGAATGGTAGAGTGGTTATAGCTTTGTGCCACTTGTGTCAACCACCACAATTTACTAGATCCACACTTACCAAAACTTAGATGCTTATACAAAAGAACTTCAGTGTAAGTCAAGGAAGATTTTCAAGTTATGCAATAGATGAGAGCAATAGCAAACAAAGAATTTTGATGAATTAAAAAAGTCAAGAAAATAAAGGTGAGTAGCAACATACTTATTAGTCTGGATTAGAAACCAGCAGGCATAAGAAGTGACTGAACTTAAGTTAAATGAAAACCATTTAAAGTCAAAATGTCTTATGTAATACAGTACATCACCCAATAGGCTACAGCTTAGATAAAAACTACAGTGAAAAACAAAATCAAGGCACAAACTTGAAACAAATGGAATTCAATATCTTTTGACGTACCTTGTCCTTTTTGTCCTGGCGGGCATAAGGGAAGCAGGGGATGACAGCAGTCACTCGTGAAGCAGAAGCAATTTTACAGGCATTTATCATGATGAGCAATTCCATCAGGTTGTCATTAACTTCCCCACTGCCACTCTGCACGATGTAGACATCTTCTCCACGCACAGACTCTCCAATCTCCACACTGCAATGATAAACAAATCATGTCAAATTAGAAGCCGTCCCTCTTATGTCCCAGTAACACCTTCGGACAGGTCGAGGCCACCCTCTTCGTGAGCACGCGCTGCACCGCTGCGGCCGCTGGTGCAGCAGCGGAGGTAGCAGCAGCGTGGGTAAAAGGAATGCACCGCGGATACAGTTGCAGGGTCAGCGAAGCGATGCTGATCCGCCAAGCGGCCTCCACAGGATCGGCGGCCGTGCCGACGCCGGAAAACAACGTGACAGGTGCGAGGACGTGACTGTTATGAGAGAAGGTAACGCATCCAGGGATCTCTCTCCGCGCTCCCTCGAAATTGTGAAGGGACAAGACCCATGACCATGCGGGCGCCTAATCAAAACATGCCACGATTTTTTTTAATTTTTTTTTTTTGAGCCGTGTTAAAGCAGACTATTGATGCGAAAAGGCACAGGTGTCGGTATTCCTACAGGTCATGCCGCGCCGATAGGTTATGAGACCAGATACATTGTCTGCTGACAAAACAAGGAAACGCCGAGGAAACTATTTACGCGAGAAAACTCGTCGTCCTTAATGTGGACGACAAGTTCCGAAGTGTAGCGAAGAACGGGTCCTTAAAGTGCTCACCATGTTTCTAAGTTGCTGAACTTCTTGGTGACGACTTTTCCTAAATCAATGCCCAGTCGATCCACGATCCTTTGGGCAAGATCTGGGTGCGAGGTGCCGCTGAAGACTTTGATGTTCGGCATCCTGCTGCGGATTACAACGTTTGGCCTCTCGAGGTTTGCTCGCAACAAACTCTTAGCACGCACTGGCTGCGATAACACGGGCATCACTAAAAACACAAATAACCAATCGGAAAGCCTGCTGAAGAGCGATTGGATACGTCACATCCGCCTCCGCTACCTCCCCCACTCCCACTCATCGCACTTCCTCTCAACCCCTCGCCCGCTTCTTCACACCGAAATAATCCAAATTTAAGAATTGAAGATGTCGCCACAGCGTTTCGGGATAATAACAATGAATAATGGTATTTCTCAAATAAAAACTCGAAAACGCACGTCATGGCGTCATGTCACCATTAAATGGGAGCTGGCTGGACCGTGCTACTGAAGTGTATAGCCACGATGAGAGAAGAAGAACAAAAGCAACAGCATTCAAACAAACTGGAAGACAGTGAGCTGCTGCTTCATGTTCACAATTTGAAAGTTTATTAAATACTGTTGTCTTTGTTCCAAAGGGCAACACAATTAACACGAACTACGAAAAAAATTAGTTTATGCGATAATTTTAAATTGGTATGTTTTACTCGTAAAACACGAGCCCCGGACGAAATGGCAAACATAGCTGCTCAAAGAATCAAGAGAGAATTCAAAGAGGTTATAAAAAGTGAAGAGGTAGGAACATGACTTACATATTTCAAAATTTAAAAATATTAGATGTTATTTCAAGCCATTCCTTAATAATGCCCTATTTGAGTTTAATCACTGGTTGAATCAAGTGTCATAAAGATGCAACAATGTCACGTTGGAAGACTTAAAGTTTTGCATCTCAACTAATATTTATGGCTATGCTACAGAATTGTTCTATTTCAGAGCACAGTTTCAATTTGCCAACCTTTTTCTGTTTTTTTATTTGGATTGTGGATCATTTCCAGCATGATCTGAGATTCAAATATTCTTGTCGCCTCTACTGGTTTGTTCTGTTATAAACTATATTGATGGCGACGATAAAGACATTTTAATTCATCTTCTGAATCTCATAAGCATTCCAACTTTTATTACATTACTTTCTACAGTTTGATTTATATTTGCTACGTGTTAACATCTCTCAGCTTTGTGAGCATCCTTGCAGTTCAATTCAGTCTGTACTAATTATACTTTGAGTTGGCTTAATAATTCATGTCTACATGCTGCTCTTGTTTACTAGTTTTGACTTTTTTTCAAAAATGCTTTTAGACTTACCATTTTTGGATTCCATTCTGGTCAAATCACTTGTTTTAACATAAACAGGTTTGTGTTTGCAAGCCCACTGCTTCTCTTAGTCAAAAACAAGAGTTTTGCTATGGCAGTGGTCGTGGGGTGGGGTCAAGAGGTCAATTGATAAGTGAGCCACCATTGTGACATCACAAGATGTTCCTCCCCTCTTTTTATGAGATAGCTCGAGCCTGAGCTTCAACATTCAAAATTGCACAATAAGAAGTTCTGATATAGATTTAGTTACAAATACTCTGTGGGACTCAAACATGTGATGAAACCTTGAGTGCAGAGAGATACTATGCTACAGATTGTCATATCTTTTATAGTTCATTTGAAATACCATGTTTGTTATACCACTACTTACAGGTTGCAAAATGTGCCATCAAAGTTGAGCTTGTCAGTGATAGCTACACAGAGCTCAAGGGTGAAATTGCTGGCCCACCAGATACTCCCTATGAAGGTGGTAATTTTGTTTTGGAAATAAAAGTTCCAGAAACATACCCATTTAATCCACCAAAGGTATGAATAGAACAGACAAAATATTTATTGGGATTTCAGAAGAAATCTGCTGTTTACCTATTTAATTTGACTTGACTTTTATGTTTTCTGAAGGTTCGCTTCCTCACTAAAATATGGCATCCCAATATTTCATCAGTCACAGGTGCCATATGCTTAGACATCCTGAAAGACCAGTGGTAAACATTCACATTCATGAGCATCAGATATTGGGAAGTTTTGAATCAACATGATAGAATCTATTTTTTATTTTTTGCAGGGCTGCTGCTATGACATTACGTACAGTTCTACTTTCTCTACAAGCACTATTATCTGCTGCCGAGCCAGATGATCCTCAAGATGCAGTAGTTGCTAAACAATATAAAGATGCACCTGAAATGTTTCGTCTAACAGCACGTCACTGGACTGCTGCCTATGCTGGAGGTAATCAGTACAGTTTATTCTCTTTAGTAGTACTTTTGATCATTTTTTCATATCTTTTTTATTTCAGGGCCATATAGCAATCCTGAGTTTGATTCCAAAATAAGACGCCTGACTGACATGGGAATAGAAAGTCATGATGCAAGAGTTGCTCTTTCTTCATTTAACTGGGACCTTGAACGTGCTACCGAGCAGTTATTCAGTTAGTCTTTTTGTGATGAACTAAAATCGTACTAGTGAGCACTGAACTCACCAAGTGAAAGGAATTTGTTGCTCTTCTGAACAGTCAGAATAGCTGATGCATTGTGATCATGTTTAGGCATCTCATATTTATGAAAATTTCATGGGTTGTGCTCTGTGATTATTATCTACAGTTCTCATGTTTACATGATTTTTTTTTTATATTTCAACATGTTGTGAATTTGTTGCCTATACTTCACTGCAACAACTGATGAATTCTTTGTTGGGATTTTTTTTAAATGTATATTTCTTACCTACTTTGTAATATTTAGGACCAACTGAGTGTGCTAGTATTTTCAAGGTATGTTTTGTACATATTATCTCCATAATTTGTTGGGCCCTGTTTGATTGATTTATTATGGCTGTCCTCAAAATTAATATTTTGATGTGCTCCAATCCAAACCTATCTCTTAAGATAAGCTTTCAAACTGTGTCTGGTACTTCACTGGGCACAAAATAATGAACTACACTTCATCTTCTCAAAATAGTATACTCATTGTCACCCAAGTAGACAGTAAGAAGTATTACTTTATTTAAAATTTTATTTGTCAATTTTTAAATCTTGGTTTTTGTTTAATTTTGAATGTTTTAATTTTCCACCTTCTATTTTACAAAATTTGCTTTCTTCTGATTTTCATTTAACTTAGTGATTTATATTACATCAGCTGTGCCATTTCCATTCTTTGCTGCATACAAAGTCAGCAAGTTTTCAAACACCCTGACTTTTCTTTCTTCTATGGAATTCCTTGCATTCAAAGCATTTGCTATGTTTTGCATGGCTTTAGCCAGGCTCAGTTCAGTAACATTATCTATAAAAAATAAAAATAAGAATTGTTAACAAAAACTTTTTGCTACAGAAATTGTGACAGTTTATCTATTACACACCCAAAGTGTTCTCTGTCGAACTTGTACTAGATTTGCCCAGATCATTTGCAGTTCGGTGTACTGTTGTCGAATCCAGGCACTCATTTTGAGGTGATGTTGAACTGTCTTTCTTTTCCCCTGAAATTTCTGCATTTCCAGTTAAAGCTTCGTCCTTTTAAAGGGTTTTGTGAGGAAAGAAAAAGAAGACAAAATGGGTCATAAATTTTAAAAAGAAGGTTTCTTCAAGCCAGATTGTACACCTAATCAGTATTGGTAAAGAATTTCAATTCTTGAAAGTCAGCTTGCTACGTGGTTTAGGGTGTATAACTTAAATGGCAGTTCAACTACATTTCAGTTTGGAAAGAAAGAGCTTGTATTAGGATTGCAAGGATATTTAAAAAGCAATTTTGCTGTAAAATTTGTAAAAAAAAAAATGTGATAAATGTCTTTTAATGCAAAGTAGCTTGTTTTTGTTTGATTTTATTTAATTCCAACTCATTGTGTGTACGTGAACTACTTACTGAGATGGATAGATTTAGAAGATTTGCAATTTTTTCTTGAAGGGGAGAGAGTTCTAACAGTGGAGGTTCATTCACGGTACAGAGTTTTGCCATTGACTCTTTTGCTTTCAGGCTCTCATAGCGCTTCAAGTCCTGCCATGACTGAAACAAAATGTCTATTAAAACTTAATTTTGTTGGGAAAGCAATGAAAACATGATGTGTAGAGGCTGTAAGAGTAAGGAAAAAATTGATCTCCTACCCTCCTCCACCCGCCTCCATCTTTCTGAGCACCAGACTCGCACTTGTTCAAAATAGTTGCAAGCTTTTGCCAGAGCTCATCCCTATCATGTCTATTCGATGTTCCTCCCACTGAGCGATCAAGAACCATATTGGGATGCTGGGTAAGAAATTCAAGCATCAAACATCGCTGTTTCTCACTCATTGAAGATGACCCTTTCTTCAGTGCCAAGTCGCAAGAGAGTCGTTTCCTTTTTGCTGGTTGCATTATTCAGACAAAATAAGCTTCTGTCCATGAATCTGAACAGTCTGCTTATGAAGCACTTAATATTCCCTAAAACGTGAAGCCGTTGGAAGCCTGGGGTAAAACGATAAACACACCCGCGTCATTGTGTAGGTTTCACTTCTTAGAAATATAAGAAAATCGAAATCACGAGTACTAGTACTGCATATGAAGATCCCTATCGACGAATTTCATGAGGTTTAATTCAGAAATCAGACTGGGCGATAAATCTAAGATTTCTGTGACAACACACACACATACAGACGACGCCGCTTGGCGTCGGATCGGATGTTCTGCTTTCCTAATGTGAATGTAAATTTGGTTTTATATTTCAATCCGAATACGGTGTTCGCTGATGTCGGCTGCTTCAGACCTGACCTAAACATTGGTAACCGGATTGTTCTTGCCGGAGTGTTATTGAAAATATAGAAACTGAGCAAATAACACGAAGTATTGTGTCTATGGACTGGAATTTAGAGAGTATAAGCATGAATAGTCGTTTTGGTGTGGACAACGTGATTTAATATTTGAGCAACGTACGTCGCAAATCTATATAAGGTTAGATTTTGTTTAGAACGATGTTACAATAACTTTTATTCCAATTTCCAGTGCTTTTATGTATAACATGGCTCTTCAGTGTGGTCCAAGTAAAATTGGGTTCTGGAAAAATATCATTGGTGCAGTTAAACAAGTAAATTTAAACTTGAGTAAAAGGAGTCTCAGTTCCTCCTTGAGTGAACCAGAACAAGAGCAACTCACTCAAGATATCAAGCCATTCGATGAAATTCCTGGGCCAAAGTCACTTCCATTCATTGGAACCGTATATCTCTACTCATTGGGTAAGTTCAGCTCTCCTCTCTACACACTCTCCTATTTTTAAACAAGTTTTGGCAAGTGCTGGCTTCTAATTAAAATTGTGCTCTTTTCAAGGGGTTTATTCTTTTGAAAATGTTATTGAATCTGGACGGAAAAAGTATTTAAAATATGGCAGAATAGTTCGTGAAGAAATTGTACCAGGTAAACATACAGTTTGGATATTTGATCCAGAGGATTATAAGCAATTGATTTTGTATGAAACCACTATGTTTCCATCTCGAAAAAGCCACCTTGCTGTTGAAAAATACCGCAAAAGTCGTCCAGAAGTTTACTGTTCTGGAGGTCTCCTTTCCACGTAAGTCATCAATTTTTGTTATGTGTTTTCTGGTGTGAGCACTGACTTCATTGTTTTCTACTTCCAAGTTTATTCTGTATTCTGTTTCGTTGCACAGCAATGGAGAAGAGTGGTGGAAATTGCGGCGAGAATTTCAGAAGGACTTTAGTGCTCCTCAGGCTGTTCAAGCTTATTTGCCTGCAACTGACAGAATAATAAAAGAGTTTGTAAACAGACAGTTACTTTTTCCTTGTGATTTTGACTTTATGTTTGTTCTATCTAGGCTCTCTCTACAGTGTGAGTTTTCTCTCTCTTTAAAAAAAAATTGAAGTGATAAGAACTTTTTACGCAAACTTGTAATTCTTCACTAACTTTTGATATTTTACAGTAACATGTTTAATAGCATTTGATGAGGAATTTGATTCCTTTTCTAATCAACAGTTGAAGTATGATTCCCGCTCCTCTCAATTAATTGAAGCTGCTTTTACTGCCAACCAGACTGGGTTTATGATGGATCGTGTTGGCTTCCAAACAAGACTATGGAAGCGATTTAGTGAGGCATCTCTGTTCATTGAAAGGTATGTAACATAACTTGTTGACCACAAGCACCTATGGTTGTGTATTTACAATTAACCAGTAATACTTTTAGTGTTGCAGTAGAGTTGGTAAAGAAAAAGAAGAGATCTTTAGAAAAGTCCAACCCATTAGAATATTCAGAAGATTATGTTCCCTCCTTGCTTGAGCTTTATTTAACAATGCCAAGCATAAACTATAAGGATGTAATTGGAATGACTGTGGACTTACTTCTTGCTGGAATTAACGCAGTACGTACAATTCTGATTGCTTAGGAAGTAGAGGAAAATGTTTCTGTGAATTTCTATTAATATTGAGTTATGTATTATATAGTATGAGTTACAGGTTCCTCCAGCATTTTCAATTGGTGTGTCTAAACAATAATTTTACTTTTGACTTTTCAGACTGCATTTACTGCTTCTTTTGCACTTTATCACCTTTCAAAAAATGAGAGAGTCCAAGATATTCTTAGGATGGAAGCCAGAGATCTCCTGCAGTCTCCAGAACAGGCAATAACACCAGAGATTTTGTCTAGCGCTCATTATGCCCGAGCTGTTCTTAAAGAGGTTCTTCGATTGAATCCAATATCAGCAGGTGCTGAAAGGCTTCTTACAGAAGATATTGTGTTATCTGGGTACCATATACCGAAAGGAGTAAGTGGCAGAGTTTATGTAAATATGCTTACTTTATGTTTTCTGGGAAAGGTTTTATTTGACTTTTATCACTTTGACTTACAGACTAATGTTGTTACTCAAAATCAAGTGTCTTGTCGTATGGATGATTATTTTGTCAATCCTGATGTCTTCCTACCAGAGAGATGGATGAAAGGAAGTCCTGTGTTTGAGAAAAGCAATCCTTATCTTGTATTACCATTTGGTCATGGCCGACGTACATGCATTGCTCGCCATCTAGCTGAACAGCAGTTGCTAATATTACTTTTAAGAGTAAGACATCATGTCCTTTACATGACTTCTAGGTATATTTCTGTATGTGCATCAATGTGTTATATGGGGAATGTTTTTCAGGTTGTTCGGGATCACATGATAAGATGGAATTCTGAGAAACCTCTTGGTTGCAAGGCTATTCCTATTAACAAACCGGATCAGGTTGTTGATTTGTCTTTTATGAAAGTGTAAAGGACATCTCTACTTAACAATTGGTCCTATCTTGTGCGTTTATTAGTTAGAATAAAATAATAAAACAATTTTATCAAATTGCATTATTGCTTTCATCTTCTTTTTTTTTTTATTGCCCTAGAAAATTCCATAGAACTAGATTTTCAAGGAGAAATTAGAGATGAATAGAGCACTCGCTGACACCTTGAAATCTTGAACATACCCAGTAAACACGAACCACTCACTTTTTGTAGTAATTTAACAGTCAAAACCTCTCAAATAACTAAAAGTGAGTGTTCGCTTTGATTTTGTACTTGTACTTCCCCTCAACGCTCTAGGCTAGGCAACTAAACACTCCATAAGAGCCCGTTGCGCCGAAATGGAAATTTTAACCCTTTCTATTGCTACTATTTGAGCTTGATCGGTATATTTTTCCTATATTTCACAAAGATTCCGCTCTAGTAGGCCTGGACATTCCCATAAGTAGTCCATAGTCCAGCAAGGTGAGCGTTCCCCCTCCCTCTCTCCCGGCATGTGGGGGCGAGGGGAGGGGCGTTGGGCGGTGGGGTTGTGTGTGGGTGGGAGGTTGGAAAAAGGAAAAGCTGCTGGGCTTCAAGTGGTTTCTCAAGAGAAGTCGTCGAAGTTCAAGATTTTGTGAAAGGTATGGGGTGATCGTGACTGTGCAGAACTGGTGCAAGAATGATCGTTATCTGTAAGGACTTTCCGGTGTTGACCAGAAGTTGCTTGTCATATCCTACTGAAAACAACAGTGGCCTCAGCGGCCGAACCCCTTGCCCCTGTAGTCCCCAGGTTGCAACTGTCTATCTCTAGGCCAACATCTCTATCGACATCATTTCGGTAACTTGTAACAGCTTGAATACTCACATTACTCACATTCGGTTGTTCATTCTTGATTCATAGAGATGAAGCTTTAGAGGTTTTACCTTTACAACAATTAGGTTATTGAAACATAAATAACGTCACCCATTTATTGTATATATTGTTTTTATAGTTCTTGAGTTGAGTTGTAGTTCTTTTACATTGTATGCTATCTTGTTATTTTATTTTCAGCAATTATTCACATTTGTTTCAGATCTTGCATTGTGATCCTGTTCTGATCTCACAATGAGTCAGGTCTTTGGTAACGGCCGCCACCTGTCAGTGGGTAAGTTGTTACAGTTATTACCTGTTTTGTGTTGCTTCATCCATTTTGTTTAAACAATTCCACCTTTGAAAAACTATAAGAACTCTTACATGTTCTTTTTAAATAAATGTAAATGTTAGCTTTTAGAGCACATTCATATTTTGAAAACTGGGCTTTTATCATCATTAATAATTTATATACCCAAATTAAATTTTCAGGTAGTACTGCTCCCCCTTTAACCAAAGGGAAACTTCGACTTTACAGCATGAGGTTTTGTCCTTATGCCCAACGAGTTCATTTGGTTCTTGATGCTAAAAAAATTCCGTATGTATATTTTCCACATGTCTAAAATCTCTCAGCAAAGTATTATTAAATGATTAAAATTTATTCATATGCCCTTCAGGTATGATGTCGTCAATGTAAACTTGTCTGCTAAGCCAGAATGGCTTTTTGATAAGCATCCGCTGGGCAAAGTTCCAGCAATTGAATTTGAGGATGGAACTGTGCTGTACGAAAGTCTTGTTCTTTGTGAATATTTAGACAGCATTTCGACTACTAGACCTCTTGCAAGTTCAGACCCTCTTCAACGGGCTAAGGATAAACTTGTAATTGAGCGGTTTTCGCAGGTACAGCATTTTATATCTATACTTATGATTCTTCCCAGCGAGCAATCATCAACCAAAATTACAGTAAATTGACGTAATTTTGTTGAAATTTCGTCAAAACTGACATTTATACATCAAAATTTCATTCCTGATGTAGGATTGACGTCCAATTGATGTGCCTTCATTGTGCATTGCTCGCTGGGTTTGTTATCCTACAGCCAAATTTTTCTTATCATTCACTATTCTGTTGTTTAGTTCATTGTTTTGTTCTACAAAATGTATCAAGATATAAATGCTCTTAACTCAGATGATGTATTGCAATCATTGGAGGAATTTGAAATTGAGCTGACTAAAAGAGATTCTCCTTATTTCAGTGGTATGTGTGTTATTTTCAAATTTAAATTGTTTAATGTTACAGACTAGCTGTGCTCTCATTTCCTTAATCATAATTTCAGGAACTCGCCCGGGTATGGTTGACTTCATGATTTGGCCCTGGTGTGAAAGAGCAGATATGCTAACTATTATGGCTGGAGACCGATTTTCCTTGCCGGAAAAGAGATTCCCCAAACTGGTTGGTTTTTCACACCTTGCCGTTACTATTCCAGTTGTCTTTGATTTTACTATTGCAAATGTATTTTTATTTTATCAATTTTATGTTCTAGCTCCAATGGAAGAAATTTATGAAGGAAGATGAGGCAGTGAAATGCAGTTATTTAGATGTCTCTGACCATGTCAAATTCCTTAAGTCCCGTTTAGCAGGAACTAATGATTATGATATGCTTGTAGCATCATTGTAAAATTTGAGATTTGTGAGATTTTTATCTGCAAAAACTCTGTTGTTGGATATTGTTCAAGTTCACTTTACAATATTAAATTTAATATCTTATCAGTGGCTTATGTTTCAACCTACATATTATCATTATTTGCTTTATAAATAACTAACATAAATTTTATTGATTTGGTTGTTTTTGATTTTCTGTTTGCCTTTAACAAATATACTCCAAGAGCTCTATTCAGTGCTGAAAATTTCACTTTTATAGCTTCTTTGGAAGGGAAAAAGTGAAAAGGGTAAGAGGAAAGGTGTAGAGGCGAGTAGCTTCTATCCCAGAACACAAATGGAAAAGATTAAAATTTAACAATATTCTCTCTAGAAAATAAACCAGTTTTAGATGTTCAGACTGGTTCTCCAAGTGTTCAGATCAGGGAGTGAGAGGGAAGCCACAGGCGGACGATCTGACCAAGCCGCTGAAGTCAACATGCTAACGCCGCATCCCCTACCATTTAAAACTCAAATTGGGATCTGACTTTGATTTCAGCGGCTGAGTCAGATCGTCTATTAGACCTCACCCTACATTACAACACGTCAGAAACAGTCATACGTACTTACATACACGTGCAACTTGCTGCTTGTTGGTCTAAACAGGGGAAAAGACTTGAAAAGAAGTGTCAAAATTGCATGAAAGTTTGAATTTTTGCGGTTACCACATTGTATTTGGAACCAGGATACACTGATGCCAACAGGCCTCTTCACATACTACGTAGCAACAGCAAGTACCGGACTTTGTACATTATTCCTCAAACCCCTCATGAATTGAGATTTTTTTTAGGGTTTTTGAGAATACACAAGGATTATATTTTCACCAACCCAATGGAGCTCAGATTTGTGCTGTTGCCAAGTTGTGAGCCAGAATCAACCAAGTCAAGTTGGTGTACCTGATGTTTATGATTTGTACAAATAGTGCCGCCAAGACGGATTCCTTAGGTTGATTTGTGTGGTTAGAAATGTGAAACCTTCCCGATTAATGCTTTTAGTTCCCCTTATTTATTTCAAGATAAATACAGTGAATGAAAAAGTAGCAGAATGGAAATAGTGGGAGATCTCTTTGATACTTGTGATGATGAACTGCATTCAGGCAAGGTGCCAGTGTCAATTCTTATTACGGCTATGAAAAATGAAATACCTAATTCAGATAAGTAAGTGTTTAGTCTTATATCATATTGCTTCTGATGATAATACTATCTTTGACAGATTGCTTCTTTAATCATATCATTTTACCCCAAGATTATTTTTTTTCAAAGACATGTTCTTAATTATTCATTTTGTCCCTTTGTGTTTAGTGAAAGAGAAGCAAATCTATTACAAGCTGTTTATGACCTTCTTGATCCACTGCAACAAGACCCACTCATTGACAAAGCTACATGGATAAAGGCCTGGCAGAAGATGCAATCGGATGCTGACTTAAACTTTACGGTTTCTCCATGTGACGGTATCTATGTTGTGTTTGCTTTTTGCTTTGATTTGTATCGTTTAAACCTCCCTGATATGATTCTTCTTTACTAATTTTTATCTACATGATTTTAGGGCTTCTTGATCAGTCGAAGCAGTCATATTGCTTTTCTCCTGGATCACCCTCAAGTTTGTTAGTTTATTGATATAGTAGAATGTCTTTCACCCACTCAAACTCTTTGAATCTTTTAAAAATCAACTTGTTTCAGGGAAAGTGAAACTGAAGATGTATTTATTTTAAAAGAAGAAAATGATTGTCTGAAAAATAATATAAAAATTTTGAAAGATCAATTACAAAACCAAGAAGACTCATTAATTCAAGAACAAACTGAAAGGAGAGAAATTGAAAAAAAATATGCATCCGCAGAAAATCAGATAATGAAGTTGGTGGCTGATTACCGATTTCATATTTTTACATTTATAATTTGAAAATTGTAAAATTTTTCAATATTTTTATTTCCCAGATTGACGAAACAAGTAAAATATCTTCAAGAAAGCAATACAGACTTACAGTCATCAATAGTTTCTTGTGAGAGGGAGAAAAACAAATTTGCAGAGCAATTTCATACTACTGAAAAGCAGCTCAGAGGACAAACAGCTGCTAAAAACAATGAGGTTGCCTTTTGACTACAAACTCTTTAGTTTAGGTGGAATTACCTAAATGAACCATCTTAATTAATTGTGATCATGTTTTTTTTTCAGATTATGATTCTTAACAAAGAAATCGAAGAACTAAACCAGACTAACATTGTATTAAAATGTGATATTGATCAACTTAAAATTTTACTTGATCAAACAGTCAAAGCCCATGGTGAGCAGATAAGGGAATACAAAGAAGCCATGCAAGCAGAAAGAGATGAAATCAGCACCAAAATAACTGTATGAAAAACACTCTGTGTACTTAATAACCTATTGTTTCTCATTATTCTTTTCTCACTTATTGGTTTTATCCCTCCAGCAATCATTCTCACATAGGAGGGATTTAGCTGCCCGCCTAGAAGAATGTGATTTCAGTGGTGTTGATCTCCAGTCAGAACTGCTGGAATCAACCAATGTAAGCTTGGTTGAATACTTATTACTAGATTACTAAATACCACTTTACAGAAATGTGCTTGTGTTTGTTTATCAGGTTGACATGAATAGTTGCACAGCTCATACACCAAAAATTCTTAGTGTTGCATCTTCTACTCCTAGAAATGTACATGTCAAACCTGCAGTTACTACATCTCTCCTAGAGGAAATGCAGGCCTTTGTATGTTTCATATTCTGAATTTTCCAATATTGTATTGATACAAATGACAATTATTAAAGTGTGTTTTGTTTTAAATAGGGATCAGGCATCGACAGCTCCAGTATACTAGACTGTAGCTTTGATGTTCAAACATCACAGCACCATAGTGGCAGTGAATCAGATGACAGCTACAGCAGCAGTGGTGTTGAAAGAGTACCTGATCCTAGACACTCTCCCAGCATTCCTCTCAAAGGGTACAGTCAATTGTGTTTTATTCATTCACTATATTACCGTACATTTCATGAGTTATGTGGTTTTTGCCAATTTTTTTAAATCTCTTTAAAATTTACAGCAACTTTGTACAATATGCTAAACAAAACGAATTCTCTGGCAACAGTTGTGAATCATTCAAAACCAGTGGATCTCAAGCACTTTTACAGGATAGACTTAGCAACAAAGCTAGACAACCCAGTTTAGGCGAGTTTTCTCCTCCGCCGCTTGAAAATGACGCTGATCTATTGTTAGAGAAAAATCAAACTATTTTACACAAAGTTGGACATATCGAGGTAAGTTAATCAAAAACATTTTTGAGTATGTTCAAATCTCAACAGCACACATGTAAGTTAATATCTTTTTGCAGTCATTCAAATCTCTTCAAACCTGTGATCTGATTAAATCTAGCCCTGAAAATATCAAGGCTAATCTTATTTCTTCTAGATCAGATGATGAATTTCCTAACGAATTACATCAACATGCGCAAATACAAGTATGAACAATGAAGTGATAGGTAATAGATTTGTATCTCAACTATATGTCAACTAAGTTGATTTTTTGCTTCTAATTAGAGCCATCATGCGAACACACAAACCATTATTGTGCAAATGTATGAAGTGGGAATTCAAACCTCCCCCTTAAATTGTGGTATGGAGATCCCAACTACTCACCTGCCTGTATGTGATGCGGGGACTCAAACTACTGAAGTATGTGAAGTGGAGACTGAGAATACTCATTATTATTCTGACATGGGGAGTTCAGACATTTATCCTCCGGTCTGTGGTATGGAGATCCCAACTACTCAGCTGACTGTATGTGATGTGGGAACTCAAACTACTGAAGTATGTGAAGTGGAGACTGAGAACACTCATTATTATTCTGACATGGGGAGTTCAGACATTTATCCTCCGGTCTGTGCGATGGAAACTAAAACCAAGCTTCGAGATGAATTTTCTGAAAGTGATTGGTCTCAAGATTGCGTTACGGAGAGTGAAAATGTTGCTCTGAAAAAGCTTGAAGCAAGGTATGGAGACTATGATTTCCCCCCCTTAAACAGTAGCAGTAGACTGTGTCTAACTTTCATTTGTAACAGTATTCTAGAGCTATCCTCAAATGATGGTTGTCAGTCACATCGTGAAATGAATGTCAACTCTTGTGATAATGACTTGTTTAGAGAAAAGGGATCTTTAACACATTCCAACACACGTTGCAAAGCAATTTATGAGGTATTCATCTCTACCAATATTTTTAGTTAGGATCTAGTGTATATACAACTTAAATAGATATTCCTTCATCATTATATTGCAGGGAAAAGATGAAGAAATTGAGTATGGAATTCATTATTTTGGCCATTCCAAGATTAGACGACATACCCCAGAAGATACCTTAGTCAAGTAAGTGTCTCCTACTTTTGTAATATTTATTGAATAATTTATCTTCTAAATCATCTTAATTTCACAGACTCCCCACCAAAACTCCTACTAAAGAACTTATGCCTTCACACAAAGTTATTTCATTTGAAATAGAAAATATATCATCAAATTCACCCATAAAATATTTTGAAGAGCAATTTGTTTCTGAGGTGGTACAACCTATCTATGTATTTATTGTTGAATTTTCAATTTTTTGGTCATATCTTTTTATTGTTTGTTTTCTTTCTTTTTTGAAGGATGCGTCTAATAATGATGTGGCACACTCTACAGTACAGAAAAACGAGTTACCTGCATTGAAAATGAACCTGTTCAAGCAAAGGTAAGACACCATCAATTTTTTAAAATTTATTTTCTTTCTCTTGGTTGCTGGGATTGTCTTCAATAATTTATCTCTTTTGTTTTGCAGATTAAAGCTTTTGTTAGCAGTGATTTGCTTGTCATGCCTTTTTGTCATGTTACTCTTTTGTTCAACTGTAGTACTCTCGGTGGGAGTCTTAGAAACAATAACGCAATCAGGTGTCATCTCTGGCACTACTCCTAGGTGGGCTGCTCCAAAGTGGATTTCACAATTTACTTACCTTGTCAGACCTTTTCTTAAAGTAGAGGAGAGAACGAGAGAACCTATTGTGTGACACTTGCTCTGCCTTTAATGAGTGTCACGTATCTTTTTCCTTTTTTCTTATACCTATAACAGTGCCATTTTATTTTTATTTAGAATAAACAAATGAAAAAGTTTGAGTATTGTTTTGAGGAATCAACTCACTTTTATGTAGGGTCTGATAGACATTTTAAATATTCTGGGATAGTCATACCAGGACGCAAAAGATGCAAATTCATTGGATTTGTAATTATTTATTAACAATTTGCAATGGAGGGAAGCAGTTTGATTTTTCTTAAATATCTCCTGTACAGAAGAATAGGAAACATATATGGCAGTTTAGTATTAAATAAATAATAATAATAAATTATTAACTTCTATGTACATCCACGCATTCATTGCTGCTTTTTTTTAAATGGATTTCAATCTGAATCAAAGCAAATTTGTACTTCATGGCAAGCACTTAATAGATTACAATAATAGATGTTTTTTCATCAAAAATTATCTTTATGTTGTCATTAGGTGATTTATGCCTTTAACACGTTGAGTCCCAGGGGGGGTATCATTCACTCCTTATTGTGTCCATACGTGTGGTCATGTGGGACTCAACGTGTTAATTGTCTCTATGGAATATAAAACATGGCTAATTAATCTCCGTAAGACTTACATGCACTGTTTCAAATTACTTCAATTCTTTTTCACAGTTATCTTAAAGCTCTTTGTCTTTTTGAATAAGTTGGTTTTAATCAATACTTTACAGCTGTGCTGTAGCAATTTTACCTTTTCTACTACTGTGATTGAAATCAATAGTATAGGAAAGAAACCAAAATCCTCAAAGGTTTAAAACACAATTGTAGGTAACTTTCTCTAAATTTTTGAATCTTGCTACCTAGAAACTGCCAGTAAATTTTAAATACTCTTTTAGGGCTGGTAGTCTACTACACATATTTCAAATCTATGTTAGGGTTAAAGCCCTTTAGATGACTAATGTGGACGTTAGCCAACTAACAGGCATCAACCATGCCATCTATGTGTAACTATGATATTTTCTAGAGCAGACCAATTGCCTTTTTAACCTAAGTAACACATTAAATGAGTGACCAGACCATTCCATTATTATCACATATGTCTAATATATCTCTTAAAAGAACATAAATAATTTATAACAAAACAATGTTTTAAATACTACAGTTTCTTACAGGATGAAGCATCTCTGAGGAAGCCTCTGTTTATAGGAACATTACCCAGTTCAGTGCTTTCCTTTTCAGGAAGGAATCAGAAGTCTAAGCTAAGCTCATGGGGGGAAAAATTAGAAGGATGTGTCGTCTTACTAAATACATCGTCATGTTAGTAAGTAGGCCAGAGTGGTATAAATTTTCAAGCCCGTTGGGTCTAACAGATCACAGATCACACAAATTTCATTCCATATTTTGCACAGTCTGTACAGAGAGAAAAAAGTGATGATATGAATTTCAGTCAGCAGCATGAAAGTGAAGAAGCACAAAATGAATGTAGATGTATAGTTGACCGAACATTGAAATTTGATTACTTTCTAGCTAAATTATCCACTAAACCTGATTTAATTCGTTTTTGAAGAACCAGTTCTACTAGGGCAATGAAGATGAAGATGACTTCTGTATTTTACACACACATACATACATTATAATAATAATAATAGTAAAAATATAATAAAAAGATGAAAAAAGTCAGTCTTAACTGTGCTATCCAGGACTGATAACATGAGCATTTCTATAGGAAAGCTTCCTCCTGGAGAGACAATATTGATGCAGCATCACCCTACTGCTGGGCTTGCTGTCTATGATGCTGTCGGTGGCGCCGCTTATATCTATGCCGCTGAGAAATTTCAGTCAGTTCTTGTGCCCTGTGAGCTACTCTCCAGCCTACGTCTATTTGTTCGGGATGATGGCTTTCTGTTTGGTCTTCCCTTGCTACCTCGCCGATGCTGTGACTGCCACTGCTCATTTGATGCCCAAGGTTTTCTTCCACTCCAAATCCTATGAAAACAAAATATTAAAAGTTATCTGCTATTATAATGCAACAGAACATTTCTTTCAGAAGTTCCTTTGTAAATGGATTACTCACTTTGTGAGTTTTGGGTTGGCGTTGCCATTTGCTTTTTTTTGGTCAGAACTAGAAGCAGTATTTGAAGAGCCAAAGGGAGAGCGGCTGGTCACCTCTTCATCTTTGACCAAAGCATTAATGAAGTCAATAACCCAGTCCAAATTTAAGGAAGCCAGAGATAACAGCAGAAATAAACCGAAGTTTCATAGTTAGACAAGGTGCCAATAAAAATTTAACTTGATACAGCCATGTTAACTTTATGAAATACAGTGTGAGCTAAGCATGTAAAGCAGTTAGCAAGATTCTTGTGAGATTTAATTTTTACTTTTGAAAGGTAAGATCTTTTTACCTGAGTTTTCTGGGCGTTTCCGCTTTTTTCCATTATTTCGACCAAGGGCACCGCTTCTGCTGATAGAAGGTGATGCCATTGGTGCAGTAACAGAGGAGATAGGAGCAGGAGGAGCACCTGGTCCAACAGTGCATTGACGGCTCCCTTTGCATGCCTTTAAATGGGCTAATTGGTCTCTAAGATAAGATAACTCGCTGGAATTAAGAGTATGCACCCTGTTCCATTGTTCAAATGGATCTGTAAAAATTGGAAAGATAAATTTAATTTCAGAGCAATTATACAATGCAAAGCAAAGTATATGGCATTAAGAAACTGTATATTTTACCTAATCT